TTTGTAGCGAGGTCGACGATGACCATTACTGCTTAGCAGTTCTTGGAAGATAAAGGTAATTATGCATCGTAAATTAATTTACAGATCTAATGCATGATTTCAAAAACCGGGCTCTAATACCAATTGTAAGCATAAAAATCTGTAATTATGCTATGTCAATAATGCGGAATTAACCTATATGCCAGGATTGAAATCAATGCATAGATCTATACGATGCGTACCTTTTGATGCCATATGTTCAGAGATCCCGTAGATCTGCTAAGCACCGTCTTTAATCCAAGATTGTTGCAGGCTCCGTCTTTAATCCGATCGCGCTGTGGAATCTGCAGGGAGTGCGGAGAGTAGATCCTTTCTCCTCTCTTCCTATCCTTTCACAGGATCCACACAGATTGATGGATTTGGGGAGAGGGTTTTGGGGAGAGAGTCGAGGAGAATAACTGAATCCCTCAACGGAGAGGTGCGTCTATACCACGCTCTAACACACTAACACACCCTCAACACACCCTCAACCCCTAGAGGCTAAAATATCTGAACGGAACCCAATTAATTATTCTATTATATATCTTATTCAATTATAAAAGGCTACATATTCTAACACAAGGGGGATCTACTTTCTTCTTGGGTAATCAATTCGGCATCCACTTCTATCAATCCCTTTCAAAAATATGGGATGGGGCCCTAAAAATGACTGCCATTTTTATTATTATATTGGCTTCCCCGTCCTTGAAAAAACATAGTATTCATCTTATTAACTTCAAAATTTACATAAGTAGCATTCCTTAAGAGCAGGTAGCTTTTGATTATAGGTCTTATTTTTTGCAGGTAGCTTTCAGGAACATGGAAATGTCAAATGATTAGTCCTTCGTGATGTTTATATATATTTTCCATTTCCAATTGGGTGAGAGGCACCATTATAGGTCTTATTTAATGTAAACAACCTTATCGAGGGTATCACTGTAGAAGACAGAATTGATGTAGACATTTTTAGCCACAGGATGGTACCTTTCACCTAATTTTGATTATAGATATATCATTCGAAAAAGGTAATGGAGGCATGCAAAATCAAAAATCAACAAATAAATAAATGTTACAAAGATAACCAGATAGTATTTTCCAAGAGTTTACATCGATGCAAAGGCTTCTAGTAAAAATAAGGTGTTATCTTTGGTAGCATGTTTGAGGTGAAAGAAGATTTTTTTTGGGTCGGAGGAAAACTTGGTAAAGTGAATGATATGAATTCTAGATCGAGTAAGCATAAGCCTCGACAGCTACGACCTTTTTATTAATGCTATTGTGACCAACAAAGCAGAGTTTAAGGTAATTTTAAGCTGTATTTATGTCATTTAGAGAATGATATTTATGAGGATTAATCATAAACGTAAATGTTTAAATTTATATACGCTAGATTTGTATTTAGAAGAATTAAGTACAAAAATCACTTATTTGAAAAGAATATATCTGCCTATATACCTATACATAATACGAATATGTATGCATGGCTATGCACTTTTGCCAAATCCCAAATACCGTCGGTCCTAAATAGACGTCCTCAAACATTTATTTGGCCTTTCGCCAAAACAGCGTTTATCTTCCTGTAAATTAAATTAAAAGTTGTTTTACTGAAGATAGTTTTCCAAATAGTCACCAGATAATAATCCAACTCTAACCCTTTTCATCCCGTAAAGATGAACAAGGCAGCATATGCACTCAAAGGTGTTCGATGATATACCATAAGATTTAGGTGTCTCAGAATTGTCACGAGCTCGACCGTCTCACATTCTTGGCGTCATTCGAGATCGCAAGGGATGCTTCATCACCACGGTCAACTCCAGGGCTTCCGATAGGTCCACCTCCTCTCCTTCCACAGGCTTCCACTCGAACTCCCTCACTAGATTGGCCACGAAGTACTCGAGGTGGAGCATGGCCAGGCCCATGCCGGGGCATATCCTTCTCCCCACCCCGAACGGCATCATCTTGATCTCCCGGCTCCCCGTTATGTCCACCTCCTCGCCTTCTCCGCCCGCCAAGAACCTCTCCGGCCGGAACTCCATTGGCTGTGCCCACAGCTTCTCGTCCCAGCCCATCTCCGCCACCGTGAAGTTGACTGGGGCGCCCTTGGGTACCAGGTAGCCGTTGAAGCTCACGTCCTCCGACACGGTGTGCGGGAGGACGAAGTGCCCCGGAGGGTGCCGCCGCAGCCCCTCCAGGATCACCGCCTTGAGGTACGGCATCCTCTGCAGGTCCTCCTCCCGGATCTCCTCCGCCTGCGCTCCCGCAACCGCCTTGATTTCGTCGAACAGCTTCCGCTGCACGTGCTGGTCTTTCACGAGGTGCGCCATGATCCACTGCAGCGCGGTAGCTGTCGTGTCGGTGCCGGCGCTCAGGAACTCGGAGCAGAGGCTCACTATCTCGCCGTCGGTGAGCTCCCGTCCTCCTTCCTCGGGCAGGCGAAGACCAAGAACTGAATCGACGTAAGAATAAACGAAGTCGCCCTCTTCTTCTTGATTCTGCAGCTGCTGGTAGCGCTCCCTCCGCTTTCTTATAAGAGGGATGAAGAGCTCCTCCTGCCTGCGGCGTATGGCTACGAGCGTGTTCCACAGCTTTCGGAACACGAGCTTGGTGATTCTAGGAAAGAAGGAGAAGACGTTGAACTTGGCGAAGGACCCGAGAAGATGCCTCTGCGTGGCCTCGATCTCCCCGATGGCCTTCTCGTCCAACTTCTCGCCAAAGCACATGAGGACGAGCAAGCAGAACATGGCGTGCTGGAAGCTTTCCATGACCACAACGACGCCGGCGTCGTTCTCAGCTCGGGCTTTCAGCCGGCCGAGGAGTATCCCGAGCACCCACCGGCGGTAGTCGGCAAACAGCCTGACGCGAGCGGGTTGGAGGATCCCGGAGGTCAGGTTTCGGCGGAGGAGGCGCCACAATGGGCCGTAGGGTGCGGAGCTGATGTTGTGCCGGTTGCTGGTGAGCAAGTTGTTGGCTTGGTTGGAGGAAGGGCGGTCGGCGAAGACCGCACCGTGGTGGACGAGAGCGTCATGGGCCAGGTGGCGGTCGGCGATGAAGATGGCGGGGCGGGAAGTGATACGGACGGCAAAGATGGGACCGTACTCGGCGCGGAGGCGACGGAGGAGGGGCTCGGCGTCGAAGAGGGAGCGGCGGAGCCATAGGATGGGTGACAGGAGTGGGATGTGACGGGGGCCCGGCGGGATGGGAAGAACCGCTTCGCTCGTGCTCTTCTGCTCTTGTGGAGAGGAGTTGGTTGTGAATAGGCGGGAGAGCAGGAACCTGGCGGCGACACAGACGGAGAGGGTGAGGAAGAAGAAGACGCAGTCGTCCACGCTTATAGGCTTCATCCTCATCTTCATCAAGAAAGCCGATTGCGGTTGTCTACCTGCATATAACGAAAAAATCCACGATAGATAAGGGCGAGGGTTGGCTGATGAGATTTCAGTAAATGGGATGCAGTGTGCAAACGCAAATGTGCCAGCTGTGTGTGGTCTGACAGAAGATTCCTTACCAACGAAAGAGAGCGTTGGGTTCAGATTTTTCTGCACAAAAAGGAGATGTGGTGGCTTTGTACACACAAACATTTAATTATTTTTGAAAATTTTGTTTTCTTTGTCAACCAGCCGTGCATATTATTTTTTTTCCTTTAAAAAAATATTCATATTTTTTATTGGTGTACAAAAAATAATCATTTTAATATTCATACTTTCCTAGAAAATATTCATATTTTAAATATTTACTAAAAATATTTTTAATTTTTAATTAATCATTTAATTTAAATATTCATATTTTGAATATTTTCCTACAAAATATACATATTTTGAATATTTTCTAAAAGTATTTTTATTTTTAAATAATATTTTAATTTAAAAATCTATAATACCCCTCAAAAGTTTTATATCATATTTTTTTATCAGTTTTTAATTGTTTAATATACTCATTTATAGTGTACTGAAAATACTATAAATATTATTGAAAAACACCTTAGCTATCATTGCTCATATATCATTACAATATTATATTTTTAGATTTATATTTAGTTTGATTGAGGTTTAAGAATCTGTTTAGATTATTTATAATATTTTTATTGCGGTGGCTAATACATTATAACAAACCAAAAAAAATTTATGGATAATATGGATATTGTTTAAATTAGGATTTGAAATAAAAATAGAAGATATTAATTGAAAAAATCTAAAATATGAGTGTTTTATAAAAAAAAAAATCACCCTTCTTTTGTCGAACTCTCGTATTCGTTATTACTTCTTTGTCAAATGAACTCCCGCACCAAAATAATCAAAATATGATTACTTTTTTTTTTTCTTTTCTTCTGTTGAAGAAAAGTCCAAAGATGATAATCTCTTACAAGGGGGATGTATTATCCTTTCTAAAATTAAGAGATTATCTTTAAATTGTAATACATTGGGATTCTCAGCAAGCATGTTAAGATGAGAAAAAACAATCCACCAGAATGTCAATAAAAGAAGCTCGGATGAGCTCGGGATTTTGTTGCACCAATTACATCTCTAAGGATCATGAAACAACTGTTTCTATTAAAATATATATATATATATATAGAGATCCAATCGGTTCTCATCTTTGCTCGTGTTTTGTTTTATTATGAATTTTTGCTCAATATTTGTAGCTCATCTTTGAGCTTTTGCTCATGCTGATTGCTCATGAACGCATCACTATCTTTTAGTGCAATTTTGGATTTCTTGGTTGTTCACAGAGCGACAACCAAGACTTTTAAAGTGCAACAACAGACAAAGAAGACAGGTACAAAGAGACACGTAAAACAATAATTTCACGTGAGCTGTGATCATTGTTTTGCACGATTCCTTGTTTGTTTTCATTCATATCAGTCTAAAAATAGTTACGATTAGTAAAATGGAAGTTGATTATCAAACCTGTATCAGAAGCTTGTGCAAAATCCCCTCTTCTTCCTGCCCAGGAGAAAAAGAAGGCCGCAAATTTGCAGGTGCAAAATCTAAAATAAAAGACAGACTAATGTTTTGTTACTTTCTCCATTTATTTTGGGGTCTTCCAGTTTACATTCATTATTAAACCACAGACAAATAGAAAAAACCTAAGAACTGCTGATCTAATTGGGTACAAATGCCTGAAACATCAGAGTGATAGAGGCTGAAGAGAGCACACACAAAAAATAAAAAACCTCCAATCATATTGCAAAACCACATTTAACCTCATAATGCATGGCTGATCATCTGTTAGTCACAGACATGCAGGTAGAAGCTCTACAAATCAGCATTGCTTTTGCACATGATTAGCATTCCAGAATATGACCATGCTTGAAGAGAAAAATGATGTGAACTTCACTATTTTCTGGATTAGGATGCCTTTGATGACTTGGAACCCATTAAAGAAGGATCCACAGACGAGATACATTGATCAATATCCTGCTTGCTCCTTGTTCTTTTCATCTTTGCTTTGAATCTGGATTTCGCTATCAGTGTCTGCATTGTGTTTGCAAAGTTACCAATTGCCATCAAAACCAGCAATATTCCACAGACGATAACCTGCAGGAGTATTTAAAACACTCGTGTGAATCAACCATCTCTGATTCTAAGAGTCAAGGGGTATATCAGAACAAATTAATATCTTGCCTGCCACTCGCAAGTAACACCAACAAAAGCTGTGCGAAGTAGTAACAAGCCAATGAATGCTTCAAATCCCTGAAGCCAGGAAGTTCATACGACAAAATTCAACTGTCAGTAGAAGTTTGTAACTTATGCATGAGAAGAAAAAAGATATCTCAAACTAGTACAAGGCTATAAACTATTCGATTTTATAATGACAACATTCCATACAAGTTAACAATTAACTTGCGACTTCTAATTTTATTTTTCACATGTAAACTTCATTACCTTAAAAATCTATTTGCATCATGATGCTAAGAAACTGAGATGAGAACAGAAGGTTTCTACATAAGCATTAAGGAACGAGTAATCAGTTGTTTAATTTCAAGTCTCAGATCCCATTTTCACTCACCTCCTTTCACCAAGCAAGTAATTGATATAACCAGGTAGAATGTTTGCCAGAATTTGTAGCAGCAAGTGAAAAAGCCAATTTTGGCAATGTAAAGAGGGTTTTCTCTCATGTTACCTGTAAAATGAAAAGGATGGGGCATAACAATAAGAGTTGACCTTCAACACCAGCAGTTTCTCCCCATACGACATCCATTCTTTTTGCCTGTGAATGGAAGCTAAAATGTAATCAACAAGGAAATGTGTATAAACAAATAATCATTCAAAATTTAGAGCATAAAAGGATAAGGTTACAGAATTTTTTTTATCTTGCTAATTTACATAATTGCACTAATAAGCATGCAGTACACAGAATGAGAATCACTTTGTTCCAATGACTTGATACCAAGATCATCAGCTGTGGCATCAAATGATAGAATCACATTATCAATAACCTCCCATATATGATGCCTTTGACAAATTACCATTTTGATCATATAATTTTTAGAATCACATTAACTGACACATTGGTCTCAGAATAACATGCCTTTGACAAATTACCATTTTCGTCTTCAGAATTCCATTGATGTCACAATAGACGTAATGAATAAGAGCAATCATATGCAAGATGTATAATATATGTCAGATAGCCTCTATGGCCCATAGCAAAAGATGCAGCATGAAGCTTTTCATGGATATCAGAATGCCACTATAATTGTTTTAAGCTATAATTGAAATGCTATGATTATAGCAGACCAATTATAAGTTTAACTTTAGGCATGATATTTTATCCAATGGGAGCTAGGGTCAATAGCAAAAAGACTTAGCAGGAAAAACAACTTAAAACAGCATTGTACTGACAAGATGTTCATCATAGAACCTTTCTAGGAAAGACACCAACATTCGGAGAAAAGATCATGACAACCACTATAATGGTTCTAAAACTATAATAGACATCCTATAAGGCAGCCATCATGGTCGTCATGACAGATGCCACAAAGGCAAGCATCCTAAAGGATCCAAGACTGATGTGCTTGGTATTGTTTATCCTCTTATAGAGGTTCACATACTTGGGGTTGGGCTTTCTTCAGTCTTGTATATCATATTTGATACTATTTCTGGTGCAACTTACGTATGGAAAAATAAAAACATAGCAGCCATGATATTTAAAACCACCTATATGTGCTTGACACGGGAGTGTTTAATACTACAATTTGATCATATGAACCTTGATTATGATATAGTATTTTTTTTAGCCAACAATGATGCCTCATAATCTTTAACTCAGCCCACTCAAATATGACAGCTCATCAACATATTCCCTGCACAAAGTTAAAGCTGTTTCAAGCTACTTTTCTTCATGACAAAGGAATGTATTAAAAGAGTTGGTTAGCAATTGTGAACATGTCTTCATGACCAAGGAATGCATTAAAGGAGTTGATTAGCAACTGTAAACACTTAATTTCGAAATTTCCTATGCATGAAGGGTTGTTTCATGCACTAGTATTTATTTTGGTTTTTAGTACTTAGAAAGAACTTTAGAAACTGAGGACATTAGCAGAAGCTCTCTTGGAGTGCTCTCTTGAACTCTGTATCTCTTGGATGCGTCCTTGAGTGATGAGTCTTTTACTTTCAGTTCTGTATCTTTGTTTATTATCCTTAGGGTGGTAATATTTCTGTATCCCTTTTGATTTTAAATTTGATGGTGAGCTATTTTTCGTTTTTACCAAAATTGCTTCGTGAGTTCGCTCCTTTTTTTTTGTTTGGAAAACTCATTCTAGTAAATACGATTGTACTGTCGACTTTTCTTGTGAATTCGTTCATTTTCTATCCGAAAAAAACAATGCCATCAGTTTTCTTTCGAAATCTTTTCTACACCCCTCCAGTCAGCATCACTCCCGGTATCAGTTCGTTCCTTGTCTACTGTGACATTTTCTATCTGAAAAACTATTCCATCGATGTTATTTCGAAATCCATTCTGCATTTTACTCTCGCCGGTATCAGTTTGGTATCAGAGCTAAAGGCTAGAGATCATGGTATGGCGGAATGGAAAAGATGTAGTTGGTGAAGATAGCGACCAAGAAGATGACGCTGAGTCGTTGAGGTTGCAGCTACGAAGATTGCTACGTAGCCTACAAAAAAAAAAAGAAATAATTAAAGAACTTCGAAATAGAAACAACCAGCATGAAAATGATGTCCGTGAGTTTACTTCTGATGATGATACACCTCTTCCAAGGGAATCGAGAAGATGTCGAACAAGAAATGAAATCCAAGACGAGTATATAACCCAAGATTGGAGATTCCAGAGTTTGAAGGTAAAATAAATGTTGATGACTTTATCGATTGGCTTAATACAATAGAAAGAATTTTTGATTTTCATGAACCACCAGAACAAAAGAAGGTCAAACTTGTGGCACTCAAACTCAGACGGAGTGCATCTTTTTTGTAAGAAAATCTGAAGAAACAAAGAGAACGTGAGGGGAAGAGTAAAATCGTGACATGGGAAAAAATGAAAAGGGAGCTGAAGAGAAAATATTTACCTCACAATTATATGCAAGAGATATTTCTCAAAATCTATGATTTCAAGCAAAAAGATCTTAGTACGGAGGAGTACACTACAGAATTCGATAATCTGATGTTAAAAGGAGAGTTTGTGGAACCGGAAGAGCAAACCATTGCAAGATACTTAGGAGGTATGAAGTATGAGATTGTTAAAGTTGTTCAACTGCAGCCATATTGGTCTTTAAATGATGTGAGCAAGCTGGCATTAAAAGTTTAAAAGCAATAGAAGTTTAAAAACAGTTCTCGGTACGGCTCAAAAGAAGGCTATAAAAAAGAAGAAAGTTCCAAGCCTACTGTCCAAAGCAAGGTGATATCGAAGGTACAAGAAAAGGGTGAAGAATCTGCTGGCAACAAAAAAAACGCCTAATTCTTCTACCCCAAGTGACCGAAAATGCTTCAAATGTCATAGTTTTGGGCATATTGCTTCAGATTGTCCAAATAGGAGGATTGTAACTTTGGTTGAAAATCATAGTGATGGAGGAGAAGACGAAGCTGATGACGAACCAAAATATGATGAAGATGAGGAAGAGGTTACTTATGCAGATCATGGTTTGTCTATTATATTGCAACGTAGCTTGCAAGTGTCTTATGCGGCCGATGATGAAAGTTGGGTACAAAAAAACGTGTTTCACACTAAATGCACTTCTCTTGGCAAGGTGTGCTTGGTGATCATTGACAGCGACAGTTTTGAGAACGTGGTTTCTTTGGAGATGGTGCAGAAGCTGAAGTTGGACACAATCCCTCATCCACATCCATATCAATTATGTTGGTTGCAAAAAGGAAATGATATCAAGGTAACTAAAAGATGTTTAGTTTTATTTTCTATTGGCAAGTATTATAAAGATGAAATATGGTGTGATGTTGCTCATATAGACGCATGTCATTTACTGTTGGGAAGACCATGGCATTATGATAAGAGGGTGTTGTATGACGGCTACAAACATACTTATTCTTTTAAGATGATGAAAAGAAGATTATCTTAGATCCATTACAACCTTCCAAAATCAACGCACCAAAAAGGGAAGTTAGCGCTTTTATGTCCTATGGTGAGTGCAAAGGAGAATTAGAAAAGGGTGGTCATGTTATGGCTCTGGTGGTAGTAGAAGAGAATGAACAACATAAGGAGACACCAGCAATCATGAAATCAATCATAGAGGAATTTCAAGATGTTATACCGGAAGAGATTCCACATGGCCTTCCACCTTTGAGAGATATCCAGCATCACATTGATCTTATTCCGGGGGCTATTCTACCTAATAAGGCAACGTACAGAATGAGTCCCAAGGAGCATGAAGAACTTCAAAGACAAGTTGATGAATTGGTGAAAAGGGGGTTAATTAGGGAGACCATGAGTCCTTGTGTAGTTCTCGCCTTGTTGGTGCCTAAGAAGGATGGTTCTTCGAAAATGTGCGTTGACAGCCGCACCATCAACAAAATCACAGTGGACTATTGTTTTCTTATTCCAAGGTTAGATGATTTATTTGATCAATTATGTGGTGCTTCTATTTTCTCTAAAATTGATTTGAGTAGCTATCACCAAATAAGAATGAAGCATGGAGATGAGTGGAAAAAAGCATTTAAAACTAGAGAAGGCTTATATGAATGGTTGGTTATGTCATTTGGGCTATCTAATGCTCCTAGCACTTTCATGAGATTTATGAATCACATACTTAAGCCATGCATTGGAATATTTGTTACAGTTTACTTTGATGATATATTGGTGTACAACAAGAACGAAGAGAAGCATATGAATCATTTGAAAGAAATCTTTCTCATTTTGAGGCAGCAAAAACTTTATGTTAATCTAACGAAGTGTGATTTCTTTACATCTAGTGTCGTGTTTTTTGGGTATGTTGTTTTAAAATATAGAATCATGATGGATCAAAGTAAGGTAGAAACTATTCTCAGTTGGCCAACACCTGCTTCATTGCATGATGTGAGGAGTTTCCATGGCTTAACTTCTTTTTACAAAAGATTCATCAAGAATTTCAGCTCTATTGTCGCTCCAATCACCGAATGTTTGAAATGTGATAAATTCAAATGGATTAATGAGGCTAATGATGCTTTTGAGCTTTTAAAAAGAAAGGTGATCGAAGCTCCTATCTTAGTTCTATCAAATTTTAACAATGTGTTTGAGATTGAATGTGATGCATCTAATGTGGGAATTGATGCTGTTTTGAGTCAAGACGGAAAGCCGATTGCATTTTTTAGTGAGAAGCTGAATGATACAAGAAGGAAATATTCTACCTATGATAAGGAGTTCTATGCCATATATCAAGCTTTATCTCATTGGAGTCAGTACTTTCTTGCCAAGCCATTTGTGCTATATTCATATCATGAGGCATTAAAGTTCATAAATCACCAACAAAAGCTAAACAAGAGGCATGCAGCTTGGGTGGAGTTTATGCAATCTTCTAACTTTACAATTAAGCACAAATCTGGTGTTCAAAATATGGTTACTGACGCATTGAGCAGAAAGCATTCTTTATTATCAGCAATGGAAGTCAAAGTTGTTGGATTTGAGACGTTCAAAGATCTCTATGAGAATGATGTAGATTTCGACTCAATATGACAGAATTACAAATCAGGTTCCTTTCAACAATTTTCTATCCTTGATGGTTTTCTTTTTCGAGCTAATACTTTATGTGTTTCATCTTGTTCTTTGAGACAAGTAATTCTAGCTGAAGCTCATGGTGATGTTTGGGTGGACATTTCGGTAGAGATAAAACTTTAGCTCTTATTCAATTAAACTTCTATTGGCCTAAAATGTTTAGAGATGTGGAAAGACATATAAAGCAATGTCGAGTGTGTCATTTGGCAAAAACAAGAAGTCCAAAATTCTGGATTGTACACTCCATTGCCTATGCCAAATGCTCCACGGGAGGAAGCGAGTCTTGATTTCGTTTTGAGATTGCCAAGAACTCAAAGGAACAAGGATTCTATCATGGTTGTTGTTGACAGATTTTTAAAAATGTCTCACTTTGTTCCTTGCAATAAATCGAATGATGCATCTCATATTACTAATTTGTATTTTAAAGAGATTGTTAAATTGCATAATATTCCAAGAACTATGGTGTCTGATCGAGATTCAAAATTTGTTAGTAATTTTTGGAGAATTATTTGGAGGAAGCTGGGTACTTCTTTGAATTTCAGCAGCTCGCATCATCCACAAATCGATGGGCAAACTGAGGTAACGAACAGAAACTTAGGAAATTTGCTTAGAAGCTATGTTAGCAAGAATATTAAACAGTGGGATCTCATTCTTCCACAAATTGAGTTTGCCTACAATCGTTCTAACCATCATAGTATCGATAAGAATCCTTTTGAGATTGTTTATGGTGCTAATCTTGTTAGTCCTTTGGACTTAATCCCTCATTCTGCAACAAAGCAATTTAGTGAAAATGCTGATTAAAGAGCTAAACAGATAAAGAAGCTGCATGAGGGTATGAAAACAACCATTGAGAAGCAAAATGAGAAGTGCATGCATGCTGCCAACAAACACAGAAAACATGTGAAGTTTAATATAGGTGATTTGGTCTGGATTCATCTAAGGAAGGAGAGGTTTCCACCAGGCAAATTTGGAAAACTAAAACCAAAGGCTGATGGTCCTTTCAAGGTGCTTAAGAGAATTGACAAAAATGCTTATGAAATTGAGCTACCTGAAGATTACGGAGTATCCCTAACAGTTAATGTGGCTGATTTAAGTCCTTTTTATAATCATGTTGATGAATCAAACAAAGACTTGAGAACAAGTCTTTTTCAACCGGGTGAGATTGACACGGGAGTGTCTAATTTATTACAATCTGATCATATAAACCTTGATTATGATATGGTATTTTTTTCAGCCAACAATGATGCCTCATAATCTTTAACTCAGCCCACTCAAATATGACAACTCATCAACATATTCCTGTACAAAGTTAAAGCTATTTCAAGGTGCTTTTCTTTATGACAAAAGAATGCCTTAAAGGAGTTGGTTAGTAGTTGTGAATATGTCTTCATGACCAAGGAATGCATTAAAGGAGTTGGTTAGCAGCTGTAAACGCTTAATTTCGAAATTCCCTATGCATGAAGGGTTGTTTCATGCACTAGTATTTATTTTGGTTTTTAGGACTTAGAAAGAACTTTAGAAACTGAGGATATTGGCAGAAGCTCTCTTGGAGTGCTCTCTTGAACTCTGTATCTCTTGGATGCGTCCTTGAGTGGTGAGTCTTTTGCTTTTAGTTATGTATCCTTGTTTATTATCCTTAGGGTGGTGATCTTTCTGTATCCCTTTTGATTTTAAACTTGGTGGTGAGCTATTTCGTTTTTACCAAAGTTGCTTCGTGAGTTCGCTCCTTTTTTTCCGTTTGGAAAACTCATTCCCGCAAATACGATTGTACTGTCGACTTTTCTTGTGAGTTCGTTCATTTTCCATCCGAAAAAAACTATGCCATCAGTTTTATTTCGAAATATTTTCTACACCCCCCCCCCCCCAATCAACATTACTCCCGGTATCAGTTTGTTTCTTAACTACTGTGACATTTTCTATCTGAAAAACTATTCCATCGATGTTATTTCGAAATCCATTCTACATTTTACCCTCGCCGGTATCAGTGCTCACTGTTAAATCCTCTTCATTCTATCTTAGGCTCAGAAAGGAGGGTCATAGCCAATGTGAAACTTTGGATCTCTATACCAATTTCATTATAGGGCTAGTGATATTGCCCTTAACAAAGTTAAATGGTGAGAAAAGATTCATGTAACTACCAGCAAATAATTAAAACCTACAGCTGGTTATTGTGGCGTTATTAATCAAGTTACATACTTCTGATGATCCAAGGAAGAAGGAATTCACTCTAATGCAGAACACCATGATAGCAATTATTGGGTATTACATCTAATTTATTTATGATACTCTTGGTAGTGGAAAATCATATTTTATTTTGGTATTTTGCTACTAGACATTGTACGTTCGTTTTGCTTTTTTGGGTGCTTGACTACAGCTAACACATGTGAAAACTTATTGTTTACATCATTTAACCATTAACAAAATTATATTACTTAAATTGTTTTGAAGTTGTAGTCTATCAAAGTGATACACTTTATAATGATGTCCACAATCCCATATGTCAGCGATACAACTTGATAAACTCCACTATTTCTGATGTCCACATGAAATTTTAACATAGGTCAAAACAACAATCTAGAAGAAGCCTAAATATTAGTGATGCTAACTTTTTTGTTTCTAAGGGCGAGCCTTAGTATAATGATAAGGTTGCTCCTTTGCAACCTAAGTGACCAGGGTTCGAGTCATAGAAACAGCTTCTTTATTTATATATTTAAAGGTAAGGATGTGTATATTGACCCTTCCTAGACCCTAGACTGGCGAGAGCCTCATGCATTAGGTATGCCTCTTTTTTTATTTCAAATGTTGCATATAAATAATATTTTACGACACTTTGATGAACCTACAATATGGCTTCAGCTACTTTTTGATTGCACACAAAAATCTGTGCACCGGATACATCCTTTTTTTTCAAGAAAAATAAAAAGCAAAAAGAAAGTCCATCACAAAACAATCTCCAGCTACTTAGGATATTAATCTTCCATGACTTACACCAAACCTAAGATAGGACCTGGGTTGAGACTTGAAAGAAAGTCAAAAAAGGAGATTCCATATGCTTTTTGGCAAAGGAACATTGAAGAAGATAGATCCCTATATTCAAGTGTGTCCACAGACAAATGGATGCAACACCCAACCTTTCCTATAAAGAACCTCCTTAAATTTAACCCTTATTTATTAGTGCAAAGTATCTAAACAGCTGGCTTGTGCACACAGGCAGCTCATAGGGAACACTTCAAATCATTGTCTAAAATCTTAGGCCTCAGACCTACACCAGTCCCTGGGTAAGGGAGGAGGGGATGCAATAGCTGGACCAAGACAATGGCAGTGGGAGGGAGGTGAACACAAGACAGCTCAAGAGGGCACAAGGGGGACGGCTTTTAACCCTAAGTCTGATAAAATATGTTGACCAGGGCTCACCACTCAGTTCAGGAGGATTACCATCTATTAACGAATGAACTGGTAAACCAGTATATACCAGTCTGGTTAAGAACCATGCTTTAAATGGAACTTAATTGCTAGTTTAGAACATAAAACCCACCTTTCCAACATGGCTTCAAATTAGAAATTGAGTATATTGATAACAAGGAACCAGCTAAGCAAGTTCATCTAATTAAAGTTATTCATAGCATTAGCCCACCATTGACAATCCTAATAGTAACTTATGCAGATTATAAAACGTCATTAGATAAGGTTAAAGAAAATGTTTGCTTCTTTGAACTCAGCAAAGATCTAATAGAAGGTCACCTTGCCCAATGCAATGCGTGTATACAGCCTTTGACGTTGATATCTGTTTTGTAAAAGCATAGCAACACCTTGCATCATAGCCCACACCAGGAACAGTTGTACCCCCCTCTGTGAGAAAGCTATGTGTGTTGATTAAGGATCACTTTTCATGATTTTTGGGTATAGCATAAGCCTGTACCTGCTTATAAGCACAATCAGGTTGCCGCCTTATCTCCCATGTGAGACTGATAAGGGCCATCAACATGGCACAATAGTGATGATAGATCCACCTGCACAAGCAAAGAATAAAAGAAAATCCCATGGATTGTCATTGAACTACATTAACAAAGTTATTATGCCTATTTAAAGGGAGGGAAAAGGAAATTATGAGCGAGACTCCAATGTTCTTCACAGAAAACCCAAAGAATGACTTCACAAGATTGCCTCTTTAATTGTGTAAGCCTCTCCAAACCAGTGTTGGAAAGATTTACATACATGACAGATCCAAAATATTTATTAGTGAATCAGCCCAAAGAAATTACATGCTTTATCCCTTATGCAGCAAATCTGACCAGGACTGCACTGGAAAAGACTTGTTAATAAGCAGCATTGCATGCTTGAGTTACACACAAGATCTTTATTGAATTTAAACAAAAGAAATATCATATCCTGTACATAAACATGCACCATTTCAAAGGTGTGTTTTTTTTCATTAAATCTGTAGACATACCTAGACAAAATCAGCATCTACATGGAGACATATCTAAATATTGATAAGGTCTGCCCCAACATTTACTATTGAGACATATCCATCTACAAGAAGTACCCTTCGTTACCACTTCTTTCATGTGCTTCTTGTGGCCAAACTAACATTAAGCATTACTAGTTCAGCCAGTTACTCCCGACTCTAGCAAGAACAGACTTTCATGTGAAAACATCAAAATGTATAAAGAAAGTCAAAAGAGTAACATATGATAGAGAGTATCACGATCTGTTGTTACAAAGTATCAACTAGGGCTGTGCAACAAAACATGAGATGACCAAAAACCAAGGTTTTTAATCTCGTATCGTACCGACATACCGAGCTTTGCTCGGTATGGTACGGAACCAACACACCAAGAAATACGCCAGGGCATTCCGAGCAGTATGTCTAAAATAGGCATAAAACCCTTCGAACTTACCTAAAAAATAGAAAGAAAAAAAAAGTTAGGATAGGATTTTTAAGTTAGAAATAAATATACATTTAGTATAGTTTTAGCAAAACTAATGTAACTTAGGTAAGAATAGTGCCACTAAAGTATGCGGTTTCGAATAATACCGCCCGTACTGGGCGGTACGTACCGGTCCGTCAGCTGACCAGTACACGAACCGCCCTTTATCGGGTGGTATATATATATATATATTAAAGGCGACATCGTGTCTCCTCGGTGAGGTAGCCCGGAGAAGGAATATATATATATATATATATATATATATATATATATATATATATATATAAACGAGGCGACGTCGCTTCATACATACATACATACATACACACACACATATATATATATATATAGCTCAATATACTGTATCGTACCGTACCGAGTGAATGTCGAAATGTTGGTACGATACGATATTTCAAACCTTGAGTGCCACATTTTTTTCGGGCTTTGAGGAGTAGCCTTGTGCAAAGTTCACAATTCGGTCTGTTCTAGATCGTCCTTCCATTAATATTGAATTATCTACAAAAAAATTATTTGAATTATTAGATTATTTTGTATATAATTTAAACTTTAAGATTCAAATGAACTAAGTAATCACATGTGTAGATATACCTGATACTACCACCAAGATAAACAACGAGCCTCCACGGGTGGTAGATCGGAGTCCTCGATCCTATGTCTCTGTATATCAATATGATATGTTTGTCAGACCCAATCTTGAAATTGATCCCATGACATAGTGTATTGATACACCGTATGCCATTGGTGCATCATTGTAGTGATGGTCGTATGTTGATCATCATGAATCCACAAATCGTTGCTTTGTTGAGTTTAGAAGAGTAACAATGTAAGAATAAGAGAGAGATTGTGAGTAAAAATAAGTTCGAGAGAGTTTAAGGGAGTATAAGTGAAATGGATTGAAAGAGGGGGAAGGAAAGGGTTCAAAAACCCTTTAGGATGCCTCCAATGATCAAATTGATCGCTTGAAAACCGTTATCAATTAGTAATGGTCGGTTTTGACTAGTACCTCCCGGTACAGGTCGATTTCGTTCGGTATCGCCCGGTACAGGTCGATTTCGCTCGGTACAGGTCCATTTCGACCGGTATCACTCGGTACAGGTCGATTTCAACCGATATCGCCTAATACAGGTCGGTAATGATCGAAATTTCGATCATTACCACCCGATACAGTCCCGTATCACCCGATATGGGGCCAAAAATCTAATATCGAGCGGTAGCAGGTGGTCCGGATGCCAATAGGCTGGCGGACTGGTGCATACCACCCGTACCGGGTGGTACGGTACGAAATTGAAAACCCTGCCAAAAACACAAACCGGAGTATTCCCTTCAGATTGTCTATATCATAGCAATAAACAGTTCATTTTCAGTTTTACAGGTAAACAATTCAGCATTTAGTTTCAGTTTTCATTTTACTCTTGATTCCTAAATGATGGAGATAAGAGCTGATTAACTCAGCTGCCAAGCCAAATGATGCCAAGAAATGGCTGACTGAATTGAGCTCAAGCTTAGATACTATTGGGTTAACAAGTGACCTGAAACCAATTTTGCATTGTAGATTTCTAACAACCCACCTGTCCATGGTTTCACCTTTTCTTCAGCATATATTATGAGGAAAGATGAAAAAGGTTTGTCTTGCATCTCCCACATGACCTCCTTCCAAGGGATACTCAAACAAACAAGCAACTCAGTATGCAATCTCCCCTCTTTGTAATCCAAACAATGACCCAAGATCTCGACAGAAACATGAGGTTGATCTCCAGTAAGATCAGATGAAAAATTGAAATAGTCTTCTGGTTACCATAGTATGATTTGAGCTTTGTGCCGTAAAAAATATTGTTGATATTCACATCAAAAGGAAGTTCCAAAAGATAAGTGAATAATCGCAACAGAAGGAAGCTTCCTATTTTTTCAAACAACTTGAAAAGCCCATATAAGTGAGGCAAAAGCATGTTTTCAGGAAGACAGTCTCCTAAAACTGCTACTTTCAAGAAGAAAGATTACTGCAAGCATTAAGTCTCACCATAGCTTATTGATAGTGTCACAGCTGAAGTAGCACCAAGTTGCCAAATAAGTACACTATATCATTGTGATTCTTGTGATAAACTTGCTTCATTCAATTTCAGACCATTGGTTACTTTTAAAGTCCCATTGCTTGTCCTCCTTTCTAGCTCAATATCAATCATTTCCACCATCAATCATGAAGAGAATGTGGTGATCAGCAATAGAGCCTCAAACAAGGCCATCAAACAAAGACAGGAATGAATTTTGTAAGATCATTACACCAAAAGAATCATGGTTAGGCTTAGGCTCCTCTGACATAGCACCTCAAATACATGTTCAAGCCAAATACATCTTACTATCCATCTGTCTAGGGGTGATCTGCTATGCTCATCTTAGGCTGTCCCTTGCAAAGTGAAAACTTCATGCCAAAAATATGATACAAATACCTTAGGATGAATATACAGTCACTTTGGGATAGTCACTTGACACTGACTTCAAGAACCTACTTATCTAATTCCTATTCTCCCACAAGCTAGACCCAATGAAAACAACTACACAGTAGATGCCAGTGAGTACCTTCGCTGGCAAAAACTTATGTATTTACGCTTCTTTTTATTATGATTCTTCATTTATCTCTTTCTGCTTTTCTCCTGCCAGCGCACTTATGTCAGCACAACAGCATGATAGAACATCCCAACAACACCAGTTCTTCCAACTTCCCTAACATTGTATAGATAAAAATTAAAGTATTCACGAAATAGAATGAAAAGGTAACAGGTACAGTTAGTTGTTTATTGAGTAGTAATATTAAGAAATGAAGATAAAGGTTACCTAAAAGATTTGTCATGTGAAAAAAAAAAGAAATTCATGTGCAAGACAGCACATGCCATAAGTTTATTAAAATGTAAACAATATTTTTCTTAACAATAACACATTAGCTGAACAGCTAACAAAACAATCACTCTAACATCAGAAAATATAAACAAAATGTAATCCCAAGCTAAATATATGCAAACCATGTTTTTTACCTTTACTACATACTAATAGGAATAAACAGCATAAATAAGAAGTTTCCTTACCAAGGACGAATGTCACTTCCATTTACGCTCAATATGTTCTCCCGCAAAGCTAAAGTTGTGTAGAGGTATAACAGCCAAACCTAAAAGTGTTTCACACAAGCAACATATGCAGAGTAGCCTTTTTAGAAAACAAATAATCATCAACAATGTAATCACAATTGGAGTTGTGATCACAATGATTTTATACCTGATATAGCTGGACAGGCAATGCAGGCAAGCATCCATCCCAAACCCAAGATCTCAAAAGTAGTAAGGTGGATGGAAATATAAGAAACAAGAAGGCTGTTCTGTCCTGGCATAAAGAACATAATGCTTATAATGTGCATCTCTTGGTGAGAGTATTACATCCAATCAAATATATGGTTGAACATATTTTTTTCCTAACCATCTTTTCTGATAAAGTAAATCTATAAATAATAATCAAGCAAATTTTCACTTGCACAGTTCATGAACCTATCTATAACAATGAGTCTTCATATAATTGTGACGTGGTCCTGGTGTTATAGTAGTCAGTCACTGCCAGCACTAAGTAGACTTATTCTAGCCAAACCAACAATAACTATTCCATGTTTAAGTTAGCATATTCCTCTAAAACAAATTAAACTGATTCAGGAGATACAGCAGCCAAAGTACATAAAGAAATAGATCAGTTTCAGAATTGGAACTTGAGAAATACAGATACAATAATGTTATTTGTTGAAAATTTACAAATCAGAACCTAAACGCTCCACTATTGAATAAAAGAACCACCTTGCTCTGATTCAGTGTCCACATATTATATACTTGTATAGAATCTAGAATAAAAAAGCAAGGTTGAAACCAAAGAGCGAGCAGTTCATTACAAGTCAATATTTTTCAGCAGAAAAATATGTGATAAGGACTGCTTTAGCAAAATAACCTGCATCCCCTTCAGGTGTGACTCAATTTCTAGGCAGAAAACCCTGTTGTGAAAGCAAAGATAACACTTGCAGAGAACCAAACAACATCTATAAGTTACTTTGTCATAATTTAACTTGAAGTCCATCATGCAGAGAGAAACAAACCACGCTTCTGAGAGAAGTGGCATCAATAGCAAAAGAATGATGTTTTCTAGCGGCATAGGTTCCAGAGGTCTGCAGCAAAGACACCCTGTTGCCGTGGAAAAGTATTTTCTTGCAGGGAACCAGACATACCACTTACAAGTTCTCAATCTGCAATTTAACTTGTTATCTTTGTTCCGGAGGAAAACAGACCAATCTTGGAAGAGTTTGATATTAAACAGTAAATACATAACATTCTTTAATAATATAGGTTCTAGAAGTAAACCTTTATTGTTAATAAGCATTAAGCTGAATCTCTTCCCTACATTGTGACTTATAGTCAAATTGCACTACGAGGTCTTCTTTACATTCGTTTGGAAGATGCCTTTTTCACCTGTATATTATAAAGCTTTTTTTTAATTATTATTTTTATCTTTCATGGTTGATGCTGCAAACGTTCCCCAAGGAAGCTTAATCAAAAGAAGACATGCATAAAGCATGACCTCTCACTCTTTTCCTTTCTACATTAAGGGGAATAAAATGTCAATTTTGTGGAACAATCACACACTTTATCAGCCACTAAAAGAATGCAGATAAATCATCAGAAAATATATGTTTGAAATTCTTCAGACGCTTTCTGAAAATAGGGAAAGGAAGCAATAAAGGTTGTTTAAACCCACAAAACATTCAGGCTTATATCAGATACGACATTATGAAGTGAATTCTAGAAGACAGATCTCGCAACACATGAAATAAAGGATGGAAGAATACCCTGTAGCTATTATACTCCTCCTTCACTTTCAGTTGAACTTCCTTCCTTGTTGCTCGTACATTGACAGGGCCAAGAAACATCTTCAAGAACCGACCTGAACACATGCAGTGATCATAAGTGAATCCGCAGTTGTTCATTCTTCGAAATTTAAGAACCTAAAAGACGCATTTTTCATCCCGAATCCATCTAGAATTTACCATGAGCCTTGCTGGGAAGCAGCGATGCGACGTCCCCATCATTAATGACGCATCTCACCCTGTATAACTCTTCGTCGACCTAAAACATAGGGAAATGGCAATCAACGTGATGTTCGACCTCACGAAACCACATCGAGATCTAGCGGACTAAAGGGCACGGATCCTCCCACCTTTTCGGCGATCTTCGAATCGATGGCGCCCTTCTTTTTGGCGGCGGAGTCCAGCGACGACTGGAGCCTCCGGAGGTCGGACTCGAGAGCTAGGGCGCGCTGGCGAAGGGATTGCTCCTCGTTCCAGGTTCTGGAGATGAGGGCGGCGGCCGCATCGTCGAGCTCCCGCGCCGCCTCCGCGAGCCGCGCCGCCTCCTCCATGATCGCGTTCGGATCCACCATTCCGCTCGCCTCTCGTCCCTCCCCCGCCCACCGCAAGCTACGAGTATTACCCAAAGAGGCAATGATTCCCGAGGCAACTGGCAGGTATAGGTGGAAATCGATTTCCAATATTTATGTATTGTTTTTGGCCCTCGGCTTTATTTTTGTTTTCTGACGTCAGCTTGCTTGTTATATACTTTTCTTCAGTAAATCTATTTATAATTTATATAAATAGAGAATATTTAGAGAGGCAATAATTTATAATCTATTTTTCAGAAAATAGGGAATATTCGTGATCACAAAATACATATAGAGGCAATACAAGAAAAAGTCATGGAGACATAAAACAACGTATAGTCTCCTACAATTATTTTAATAGTTATATTTGAGATTCATTAATACGAAGGTATCAATTAGTTTGATGAGAGATAAAAGATAATATTGAAAATTCACATGCTTGAAGTTGAAGCTTAAACATCAACAGTCGAAGCAATAGAAATAAAAGCAGCAACAACGAGAATAAGAGAAGAATAAGTCAAAAAGATGATTCCTCTTTTTCTTTTTTTTCTCATCGGCAAGATTTTTATCTCGCATGGTTAGTGATCTAACACGATATTTCATATCTTTTAACTTGGAATCGGTTTCGACAGTGTTATTATTAATTAATTTGACTACAAAATTACTAATTCAGTTTCCAAGTTATGTCATTCTCGGGACATAAGATTCTGACATTTATACTGTGTTTATTAATTGGATTGGATTCGAGCTTAGGCAATTAATATAACCCATCCAAATCCACTCGCTCAATATTATATTACGTATACTGTTTTCGAATCAGCACATCATGTGTGTCTGAATAGGTCAAATTTATTATTATTGTTTGATTAGATTATGTTTCTAGTTGGATAATGCAAACAAGTTGAAAGACTCTTCAGGTTATAAAAAATAATTGAAACAAATTACAAATGCATTAAATGATTAAGTTTGTAAAATTGTTAAAGAGGATTAATCTCAAGAACACAGACCTGAAATAATCTATTCGCCTGGATGAGAAACCTGACAATAGAATTGAATAGATCAGACGTCAATGGTGGTGATCTTTTTGGTTTTGTTCTGTGGTAGATTTTTGTTGTTTGCTGGCTATACCACAAATGCCACTGAACCACTTTCTTCGGTGCATTTAGTCCACACGATCAATTGATCATGTCATAGGTTTAATATTTTTTTATCAAAAATATAATAATTATGTATTATATTAAATATAAAAAAAAACAGAGATAATATTATAGAAAAGAACATATTTTTCTAACTAATAAAGAATTGAGGATATTTAATTTTTTTAAATGTTCATACAGAATAATTAGTGAATTAAACCGATCGAAAGACTCGGATCGATCGAACCAATCGATTCGATTTGGATTATATAGCTAGTCTCAAATGCATTTAGTGCTCAATAATTTTGGATATAATGATACTTAGTTGGCCACTATATACAATAAATGATCCACTTATCAAAAATTAGGATGATGAATTTTCCTTAAAAAAAACATGATATATTTGGTGGTCAACTCCTCAGTCGGTCCATAACATTAAAGAAAAACTTTAAAAGCTGATCTATAATCGAGTCTTTTTAGATGCAATGATAACTTAATTTAACATTATCTAATTCTCGATAAATGTGAACAGAAAAGATTGGCATGCTTTAAGAACTCGATTAAAGTTATTTTACTAAGTTTTTAATAAAAGTCAAAATAATAATAATAATAATAATAAAATACAGCATCACTCAATGACAACTGTTTCATGATTTCCAGAATTAGTTGTCGATGGATAGGTCAACTGCTTTGAGACGGTAAGGTGCACCCACCTCCATTCAAATCCGAACAACCACAGGTGTACGAAACGATAGACAGTTTGGTCGGCGAGTCCAGTTTAACATTTTGCACGGATTAATGTGATTTAATAATACATATCGATTTCAACATAAATCGATATAAAAATTGGACAATCTAGTTTGAATAATTTAAAAAAATAATAAATGCCGCGGCAAACCAGCCATCACCGACGACACTTCCTTCTTCCTTTCCTTCTTTCTCTATCTGTCTCCCCTCTTCTACATTTTGCTTCCTCCTGCGGCTTCATTCTTCCTCGGCTTTCCTCTTTCTTTCTTCTCCTTCGTCTTCGAAACATGTATCTATAGTATGTAGGTGCCCTAGTACGTATTGATCTGTTGGAGGTCCAATACGTGAAATGAAATCGTGGACGACTGCATTTATTTCATAACCAAAATAGTCTTCTAAGCGAGAAGACAAGATGCAGGTCAGCTTACAACACAAACCAGATCAAATAGGTAGTAGGAGTTTATGTTGAGGTTCATACAAGAAACTAATCAGCAAAACTCCAATTAGTCCCCATGGCCAACATAAAACCAGTACTAAAACATAAGCATGGGTACAAGTCCTTCAAACCTCACTGATAAGCAATGGTCCCCTTACTCCTGATCAAGCATCTCAACCACCTCGGCGACACCTGCCATCATTTCCTTTGAGATTGGACCACCATCGGGAAGATCAAACCTCCTACGCCTCATAGAACCCAGCTTCCCAGATGGTTGTGGATCGACCACTTCTAGCATTGCTTCGAGTTCCTCAACCATTGACTTTTTTGCTGCCCGCACCATGTAATCCGGTCCCTGACATCAAATAGATGACAGAGATGGTCAGATTGAACAACAAAAGAAGATAATGCAAACAAAATTAACATGACTTCACAGGTATGACCATCACCTATATGACATAACAATCAGACACAATACCTAAACAAATACGCAGTTAGGCAAGAAACAGATATAGATGGACGGCAAAACAATTGAAACATATAGACAAGATAATTTACAGTTCCGATTTTTACTCTACCAGCAAACTGGTTCAGCTAGCATCCTTGAGTCTCTTAATTAGGGCATCCAGTGACTTCTGTTTCGGATTCTGCTTTGCACCCCTTGTACTAAAAGTTCCGAACAGCCAATCTGACGATTCCCTGAACTTCTCTGTTAAGGTGACCACCTTCTTGTACTCTTGTTGTTTGAAGGAAGGTTATCACAATGTAAGCTTGTAACTTTCAGATCCATAACAGTTTTTGTCTAATGTCATCATCCCAATTAGTCCTCCATCAGACTTTTAAAGTATCTAACTCAAGAATGCATACCTAACAACTGAATAATGCCACTCCATGATGAACATGATTGATGGCAAAAACCAACCCAACATATTCTATGAATCCAAGAAATAACTCTGAATAGATAACAAATATATAAGAGCATAACACAAAGATATAGTAACTGGGTCAGCCCTGCCTGAAGGATCACTGATGACGAAGGATTACAAGAAGCTAATTTGAAAGAATAACATCATCAAGTGACATGTCAATTGCACGGTGTTAAAATGCTTAGCCTACTTAAAGCGGTATAATGGTGCCAGTTAAAGGCTAATATGAGCTGACTTCAATATATAATAATTCCAACAACTGATTCCAGTAGGGCTGTCAAGGTAGCCACCTAAGTTCAGGATTTGACGTCAGAATATGTCCATCCTTTGGCCTCTGATCTGTAGGTGCAATATATGCTCTCCATCCACCTGCCTGATCTAATCTGGTTCAGGGGACCATATCACTCTCATTCCACTTGATCTGGTTATGGTCACTGTTCCTCTCCTCTCATCACTGCCATCTGCATCAACGACCTGACTCATGCAACATACAAATGGATTGTCTACTCTATATATAACGATAATATATGCGTTCTCAATATTTGGTGAAATCAAGCCTGTTAAATGACCAAAGCAAGGCATGATGCGTCTTGTATCCAAGTCACCCAGCATTCCCTCTGAACACAAATGCTGACTCATGTCTGATCTGTTAGCTGCCCTAAAAACTGGGATGGATGTATTTATTGCGACAGCATAATCAGATGATATAACATCATAAAACCATGACCTCTTGAATGTAAGTATTTGCACTATAGAACTTCCAAGAAGTACTAGGTCTAGAGTATTTAACATCTATAGTAGGTTCCAAGTGTTTTGGAGGACCAATTTATCACATGAAGCATCAGCTTTCAGATGGTAATAAATGTATATACCCAAGGATACCATTTAAAATGCAAAATATTACAAAATTTTACCAGATACTCCAATAATTTGCAAATTTGGAAAACTCAAATTATTGTAGCTTACCGATCTCTCAAGGCATCAAACAGAACCAAATAATATACCACAGTTGCCATCTTACCCACCAAGATGACACCAGAAATTGGGAAATCCTTATAGCAACAAACCAATCATTCTATTGGAATCTTACCCTACAACTGAAAAATAAGGATTTTCAAGATTGATTTTGAAGCTTTTAGAGGCCTACAGCGACATTTAACCATATTAAGTAATAAGATATTAAACAAACAAAGAAACTGCAATGAAATGACAAGTATATACTAGCATACCACGTAACAAACATCATAGAATAATATGACAAGACCTTACGATCAGATATTTCTCCAAATTTGAGAAGAAATAAACTTCCTGGAAAAGAAGAGAAGAAAAAAGGATAATTTGCTACTAAACTATAATAAATTTATTGAAATAATAATATAATTAGTAGGCAGCCTCCAGAACTTATACTATGTCATGTATAGTAAATAATGAAAAATAGTTTTTAAAACCTTAGAATCTAACAAAATCTTACTCAAAGGCATGTCAAGAACTCTCAAAACATGACCCCCAGTAGCTTGATGATTCAATCCTACTAATGCAAACATATTCTAATGCAACAATTTTAAAGTCTCTAGAAATTAAGACAAGGTCTAAGTAGCAATTGAAATAGATAATAGAAACAAGGAACAACTAGAACTTCAGCAAGCAAAGATGTGTGCAATAAGAATAAGTCAGCTACAGGTTATTTGATAATACAAGTTATTTGATTATAACATAAACAAAATTACTCTACCAGAAACAGTATAATAATATCTGGCTCTAGTGTCTATATCTTTGTACCACTCAACATGTCAAACACATCATCAATTCTAGGAATGAGAAACCTACACTAGACGGTGAATTTTTTGATGGCATAACTATCTTCTGCATTCTCCAAGACCCTTTTTTCTCTTAGGTGTGAGGAATGCAAGTATTGCATAAAGGACCATGCTCTCTCTAATATTACCTTATCCTAAGCTAATTAATAATCTGCTGCTGTAACTCTTCTTCAAGCTCATTATGACTCATCACATATTCAAGTGATCTACAAGCTTTCCAGATGAAATTTTGGTCTTGGATATCCCATAATGGTAGTAAGCCTTCACTATGCTCATTAAGAGTGACACCGAATAAGTCAAATCCTTTGGGATTTCAAGAGCTTCATTGACAACCAAGGCTATAACTGGTGGTGATTCTCTGGAGTTCTGTTCAAAATGTAACTTGTTTCAAAGCAACAAAACCTTTTCAACCAATATCCTAATGCCTAGAGGTTTGTTTACCTTCCTGATGTTTGGTATCTTTTCACTGTCATGATTTATCTCTCGGTCAAATTGCAAGGTCAATCCAACAAAACATAGGAAAACCATAAATACTATGTCACACCAAATCTTATTCCAATACATTTTGCCTATTAAGATCAATTACTGGTCATGGGGACTTTTTCACCTCCTTTAGAGCAGAATATGTTGTATGCCTATCCAATTTCTCAATGCTTTACTGCCAACTTGTCAACCATGTACCAAATTACAAAATCATCTGTCATACCTCTTTTCTTTTATTGTTGAGATTCATGGAGAATATTCAAAGCCTTCAGAAATTTTGTCTACAAATTCTTTTATCACTTTTTAGTATCCTAAAGGTTATTGGTCACTAAAACCAGAAGCAAATTGTTAGATTATGCGACTCTGTTTAGTTGGAAAAGATATATTAAAGTTCTAATTGGATTCTAATTAGGGTTATCGACTGATAGAAAAGTTCACTTACAGTAAGATTCCTTAGGAGACGACCTTGATGGGAGAGACTCTCATCAATTACTATCCAAGACCCTCTATTCTTGCATATATAAAGATTGGACCTCCAAAGGATTATACAAAGATATAGATTATAGATCTACTCTCTTCTCCTAGTAGTTCCTACTCCATCACTAATCGCAGTCCTGTGAAAGAAAGGAAGAGAGGAGAAAGATGAGTCTAGCTTTTGTAGATAAATGCTACTGTTACTTCCGACAGACTACGATGCGTTACCAAATCCAATAAAGATATTCCATTGACATCATCTAAAGGTATGCAAGCTTGATCTTGATCTATCATTATTTGATTTTGATTCTAACATTAAAGTTTTTCAACATAATAGTATCATAATAATAGTTTTATGCTTAAAATTAGTATTAGAGCCATATTCTGAAATCAAATATACCTTATATCATAAAAGTACTAGATCTACTTTGTATTAGATCTGTTTATGTTATCGACTTTTGCTTGAGAAAGGGTGATTCAATCTATTTTCTTATTCTGTCCGCCCTTGTTGCTTGCTTTCGAGTGATAAAGGTTTCCTTACCCACACGTGTGAAACCACAAATGGAAGCATGCTGCCCAATTTTGGTCAATGGTGCTATAAAGGGTGGTAGCATGCCTTGGTCATGGGCCCTACCGCGAGCAACAGCTATGCAGGTGGCAGCGTTGCATGCAGTAGCTACATAAGCCACAATGGCTCTACATGCAGTGGCACAAGAGGGCGGCGATGTTGAGGGTCTCACTATAGGTGGTCGTTAGTGAGTTGTCACCTATATTGACAGACAACTTGCTATCCGTGACAGTATAGCATAGGGTGATCGCATACCTTGGTCGTCGACCCTACTATAGCTAGTGGACTATGTCGCAAGTGCAGGAGCAAGGTTGTTGGCCGTGAAGAGGGGCATCATATATGGTCAGTTGTAGAGAGTATTCAATCGCCATGAGGGATCGTGGCTCAGGCAACCGCGCACAGTGGTGCCGTCCTAGGATGCTGGCCAACGATGTTGTGCCATCGAAAAGAATGGAGGTGTGCACCCGTAAGGGGTCACCAGACGACCGCGCAGCGTAGGCGGACGGAGGCGAAGTGCCACAAGCGACGACATGGGCAGATGTGGCACGACGATGCTGGGTAGTCGTGCTTCACAGTGACGTATTATCATAGACTCAGCTGGTTTTGCGTAAGTCATGCGCCACCCTTGCATGTCCCTCCTCAAAGGGTCAGCCTCCCCAAAACCTCTTATAGTCCCTTAAGGACTTGCAAAAGAGAAGTCGGGTTAGAGGAAGCGTTTAACTCGGGATCCCACAAGTAAATATTTCAGCAAACACTTGATAGGTAATATAAACATAGACTTTGCAAGCTCTGAATGATCGTGCGACAAAGGGTCCAAGGTGGTCCGCTACAGCCAAAAGTTCTCACAAATGCTCACATGGCACTGTTGTGAAACAAGACAACAAACCAACTCTAGACACTACCCTGAAAGCTCATCTAGTCATGTGCCATTCGGGTAGCCCTAGGGTGTTTTACTGGCTGACACTCTGCACCACTCTACGAAGTTAAAAAACCCCCAAAATGGTTGCCTGGATGACCTGTTTTTAAGCAATTTTGCCTCTGCATGACAAATGCACACACAACTTGTGTTTATAGGACCAAGACGACC